GAACTAACATGGAGACCTCACATCGGTGAGGGAACTCGGTGCGTCAGAAAAGCTGTAGAGAGGAAGAGCCCGAAACAGCGACGCATTCTCTCCTGATGATCTCCATGCTAGAGTCCGGGATACGTAGCGTTCGGCGGTGAGCAGTGCATACGGCTGTTTAGACTACATACCTACTACCCCCTTCCCCTCCCTACCTCGCAACATGCACAATCTCTTTCTTTTCTCTCACCCCTCCCATTTCTCTCTCTCCCTCTCCCCCCCTCTCTCTCTCTCTCCCTTTCTCTTTCTCTCTTTCTCTTTCTCTCTCTCTCTCTTTTATTCTCTTTCTCTGTCTGGCTGTTTGTCTGTGTGCGTCTATTTCTCTTTTTTCCTCTCTCACTCCGTCTCTCTCACTCTGTCTGTTTATCGTTCTGTATGTCTCTCTCTCTCTCTCTCTCTCTCTCTCTCTCTCTCTCTCTCTCTCTCTCTTTCTATCTCGTTCTCTCTCTTTCTCTCCCTCTCTGTCTGTCTGTCTGTCGGTCTCTCTCTTTCTCCGCCTGTTTCTCTCTCTCTCTCTCTCTCTCTCTCTCTCTCTCTGTGTCTCTCTCTCTCCGTGCAGTCACTGCATGACTGAGCTAACGAGGAATATTTTCCAAGATACATGCGTCTGTCTAATAACCACCCCACCTACCCCTTTGTACGAGGCTAAAACGACATTGATCAAATTACCATTCTCGATCGCCTCTTCCCTCCCTTGTTCTGGCAGTCTGAGCAAGTAATGTCAACACATTTCTCAGACCCGGGTGAAACCTTTCCACTACGGATGATTTCCTCTGTGTTTTGCGCTCCATGTTCTATTTTCTTAGCGGATCTCTGGGAGCCTTGACACCACTCAGGAACACGTCACACAGAGCTGTGGAAGGACTCAGAGATATTGTTACATAACTCTGTGGGCTATGGACCAATGACTTTTAGCACGAAAAACCATATCCCAACCCGAGTGAAGGCCTTCATACTCAAGCCTGAATCTGCTACTACTATTGTTAAAGAGGCGATGCAAAAATAGTTTGTATTTTGCTTGTAAATTAACTTATCATAATAATGTTACAATCGGCATATTATGCCAAAAACAAAGTCCGGATATTTGTTATCATAATTATTCAACTGTTTTATTTTTTCTTCCTTTGAGACCTACATTTAGAGAAACATATGCGACCCTGTGAACTGCACAACTGTGCATTGATTCATATTGCCTACCAATTGTAATTTCGACCTTAATTCCCTAAAAAGCTACATAATGTACGTTTTGTTTTTCTAAGAAAATGTGCGCAAATGACCTTCTATCGACAATATATTTCTGGCAGACATTACTAAACACTTGGGGAAAAGACTATACTCTTCCGATGTTGATCTTTGCCTAGGTCCTGAGAAAAAGTACTTTTGTAAAGAAAAGGATAACTGGAAAAGACCGAATAAATATTATGAGCATAACGTTTACCGCATTCTGCGGCCCAACTGTGGGAGCGAATGAATGCACGAGTGATAATAATGATTCTAAAATATTCCCACGCACTGATTCTAATCTCAAAGGGTAGATCTATAAAAATCTATTGATAACAGCTTGGTATCCTAAAAAAGTTCAAACAGTTATAGTTCAGAAACTCCTAGAGTATTCTTAAACGTACGTTATAGTAAATCAGATGACGATAAGGATGTGCACAGGGGAAACAGATTTGCCCACCAACGAAATCATGTACGTTGCGAAAATAGAACACTAAATCCCATACCCCTATTTCCCTACATTAAAGTTTGCTTAAAATTTTTGGGGTTTTTAAATATCGCGAAGTGGTCGAAACAAACTCCACAAATGATTAAAGCTGGTTTGGTTACAATGAATGTTGCTCTAAAATCGCTCTATTCAATTTAACTAACTGTTTATGCCATTAGGTGCATTAGGGGCACTCAATTATTCACTCCCTCACTCACTCACTCACTCACTCACTCACTCACTCACTCACTCACTCACTCACTTATGTCATCGTCGAAGTGGGGGACTGGGCGCAGAGGATGTCGTGGATTTTGTCCCCTATGTCCTTTTGTTGTGGTATTTTACGACGTTCGCAACTGCATACCTTCATACGAGCGTGCGAGACACACTTAAACATTTTCAGTTTGGTAGGAATTAATTTTGTATTTTGCCCGGGTGGCGTCCGAAGCTTACTCTTATCGATTCTAGGACTACCAAGGGAACCTCCAAGCTTTTTCACCCTTATCCGAGAAGGCTAGGTGTTAGATCTTACAACCCCTAAGATTAGGGGTGTGGCTGTAAGACAGCAGTAAGAAAGAGCCAAGTAGTAGCCAGTAGAAAGGCTGCAGAAAGAGTCAGGAGCCCAGAGGAGGGGGCAAAGGGTGGTGGGGGTGGGGAAAGAAAGTGGAGACGAAAGAAGACGACAGAACATCGTTTGAGAGCAGGAAGGGGGACGAAAGGAGAGAGTTTTAGAGAAAATAATGTTCTTTTGCTGCTAGGTTTCGAGCCTGGGATCTGTTGAATGAGAGGAGAACACCATCATCTCTAGTCCACGAGAGCCCCCTGGTTGTGGTACTGAAATATTTGCGTAGGAAAACAACAAGAAGGTCTATACATAGTAAGTCATAATTTGACTGGAATGTATCCAAAATAGGAGTAAACTCCAATAGTTATGTTCACTCAAACACATACACACACTAACCAACACGCACAAATACACCAACACTCACAAACACACACATTCACATACATGCACACACATTCACACACACACATACGTACACACACACACACACACACACACACACACACACACACACACACACACACACGCAAGCATCGAGAGCAACTTATTTTTGACAACATCATTATAGAGCGAGTAGTTCAACTGTTTTTATTCTATGGACTCCTTTCTGTCTATTAAAAAAAAAGGAGAATAACAATCCCATTGTTCTTTTGTTTACAAAAACCTTGCAACTCGATCTCTTCTATTCTTTTCAGCCCCAAACAAAAACCTCTGGCAACAAAAGAGCGTAACTCTGTCCCTGAAGTCATAATATATCAGTGGGAGGACGACAAAGTCGCCCGGTTCCAGTATACACCAACTACTTTCCAGCCCTTGACGCACCCAGCCATGTCCAAATCGCAAGAGGTTCTTCAGAGAGAAAACGAGGACAGAAGCTTCCAGGGGCCTACGCAACTAAACAAAAATCTGAACCAACGACGGATTCGCCAACTCGAAACGTTCTGACAGCTTTGGGTACTTAAATAGCTGGCTAAGTTGCCGTAAATCGCGCTTACGATCACGGACAGGACAAGTTTTTTTATGTTGTACGTACATGCCTTAATCCCTCGGTTTTGAATAATTTAAAGTGGCGTGACTTGGCTGGCTTTGTTAAAAATGGCAAGCATTCCTTTGGTAATAATTTACTGGCCGACCTACCCCCTCTATCGACCCACGGCCCTATTGCCCACCCACCCATCTCTCCCCTAACCTCTTTCGTGGTAAGAAAAATCCTAACTATCTAAGGTTGGCGTGAGGTCTCGCTTGCGAGCATAACATATCATTTCCTCTAATAAAAAAAAAGAAAAGCTATGGTTTTAGATACGGGCAAATACTTCTTTTTCCCTTTCACTTCTCTCTCTCTCTCTCTCTCTCTCTCTCTCTCTCTC